GCACAAAACCTAAAGAGCATAGCTCTCATCTCATCTCATTAATAAAAAAGCGAAAATAAAAACAATAGCAGTTGTCATCATAATAATAAAATAAATCCTAGTAATAAACGATTCTCATTTCTCACTGATCGCACTCCCAATTTCCCCTCATTTTCTCTCTCCTCTCTCTCTACAACGGAGGTGGGCGAGGTTAGGGTTTCTCTCTCTCTCTCTCTCCAAAAAAGGTACCGCCTTTCCGCCATACCCTCAAACCCTAGATCGATTAAATTCGCAAAATTTCCGTTCGATTTTCAGGGGATTATAACTTAAACCGAGAAGGCGGAGAGAAGCCCTCTCGCCGATTCGAGATTTGATGCAGTGAATGGCCCATCAGGGCAAGTTCGTCTCGGTCAACCTCAACAAATCCTATGGCAAACCCTCGAGTCATCCCCAATCTTATGTATCAAGCGCCCGCTCTCGCCCTGGAACCCTCTCCGCCACCGCCGGCGGAGGCGGAGGCGGAGGCATGGTTGTCCTCTCCCGCCCTCGGAGCTCGTCGTCGTCTGCGCAAAAGAGCAGCGCGCAGAAATTATCGGTACCGCCCCCCTTGAACTTGCCCTCTCTGAGAAAAGAGCATGAGAAATTCGATCTGTCGTCTGCCTCGGGGTCGTCTGTTCGCCCCGGGAGCTCCGATCGGATCCGCGGATCGGGTTCATCGTCCATGGGGTGGACGAAGCCCGCCCCCGCCCTCCTCCAGGAGAAGGAGGCTCCACCCGGCCCGGGCCCCGCCTTTGTCGCCGGTCCTGCAGTTGACAAAGCTGTGTTCTTGAGGGGAGAAGATTTCCCTTCTCTTAAAGCTACTATAGCCTCTAGTGCTTCGAAGGTGAAAGAGAATGAGAGGGAGAAGCCCGAGTTTCGGTCACCTCTGCAGATGAGGCCGCAGATGAGACCTTCGTCTCGGTTGACGACTGGTCTAGCAACTGACGTTGATGGGCCGGAGAAATCGGAGAAGAAGGAGGAGAAATACTTTCCGGGTCCTCTCCCTGTTGTAAAATTGACCCATACTTCCGATTGGGCTGATGATGAGAGGGATACCGGACTTAGCCTCCCTGAACGTGGTAGATATCGAGGACCAGATGTGGATGCTCCTTCTAGGGAGTTGTATAAGGATGATCGGGATGCTGCAGGTTCTTGGAGGGCAATGCCCCAACCGAGAGATGAGAGAGCTGGCATGAAGCCCTTTGGGGTTGGAAGAGAGGTTAACAGGGATAGTGGTTCTGCTCGTTCTTCGCCCTATGGGAACAGTGTAAGGGATGGTCTTAGCAATGGCAGAGATTTGGGTTTTGGGATGAGTTCTCAGAATGGGAAGAATTTATCGGAAGGGTTTAGTGGAAGAGGCAGTGATCAACAGAATGTGCGTGGTGGTCGATATGGTGATGTTTTGAATAATCGACATAGAGGAGACGGCTTTCAGCATAATGCTGTGGCAAAGTCACCGTTTTCTTATGGGTCTAAAGGGTTATCTTTGAATGACCCAATACTGGATTTTGGTAGAGAGAAAAGGATGAACTCATCAAATAGTGGGAAGCAATACTATGGGGATGCTGGTTTTGATGCCACTGATCCTTTCTCTGATGACCCGATTGCTGAGGTAAATATGAAAGTTTTCAAGAAGAAGAAAGAGGTACAAAAACATGCTGATTACCATGACCCTGTTAGAGAATCATTTGAAGCTGAGCTAGAGAGAGTTCAAAGGATTCAGGAACAGGAGAGACAAAGGGCGATGGAGGAGCAAGCAAGAGTCATGGAGATTGCTCGGAGGGAGCAGGAGGAGAGGGAGAGGCTGGTTAGAGAGGAAGAGGAAAGGAGGCGGCTGATGGAAGAAGAGGCGAGGGAAGCTGCATGGAGAGCAGAGCAGGAGAAGATGGAGGTTGCTAGAAAAGCTGAGGAGCAGAAGATTGCAAGAGAAGAGGAAAAAAGAAGGATGCTTATGGAGGAGGAGAGAAGGAAAGAGAATGCAAGAAAGAAGCTTATGGAGCTGGAGGCTAGGATTGCAAGGAGGGAGACCGAAGTTAGTCAAAACGAGGACCAATTTCCCCGTGTTGTTGGCGATGAACGAGCTGTTGGCACAAGTGGGAGGGATGTACCTAAAGTTACGGCAGATATGGGTGAGTGGGAGGATGGTGAGAGAATGGTTGAGCACATCACTAGCACTTCTTCTGATTCCTCGATGAATAGATATTTTGAAACAGGTTCTTCTAGGTTACCCTCAAGAGAAACTGGTTCTTCATTTATGGATAGAGGAAAACATGTGAATTATTGGAAGAGAGATTCGTATGACGGTGGGGCGAGCTCAATGTTTCATGAGCAAGATAGCTATGCAAGGAGAGATACTTACAGCCCTGGGAGGGGTTACCCAAGGAAAGATAGTTATGGAAGTCTTGAGGCAGCCCCTATGAGGCCATCTTCTAAGGGCAGTGTGTCAGACCATTCTTCAGGTCCGGATGATTTCCGTTATTTAAGAGGAAACAGATGGAATGTTGGTGGCGAAATTGATCACTTCCCTAGAAATTTTGAGGCTGATGCAGCTGATTTCTTTGATAGTGAGAGGTTTGATGATAGTGCCTGGGGTTCTATTCGTCCTCGTGGAAGTCCTAATGCTTGGTATGCTGAAAGATCATTTCCTAATTCTGAGGTCGATAGTGTATTTCCCTCACATGGAAGATCTCGTCACTCCTTGAGACAGCCTCGTGTGCTCCCTCCTCCATCCATTTCCTCTACACGCCAGAGTCAGAGCTCATTCAGAGTTGCAGCAGATCGACCCATTTCTTCATCATTTGTCGATAACCAATCTAGATATCAGCATGGTGGAAGAAGTGTAGAAGAACCTGTGCAGTCAAACTATGATGGTGGTTACCATCAAAGGGTTCAACAGTCTAGAACACCGGAGGTACTAGAAAGTGATGTTATTTCTTCAGAGCAGAGAGAGAAGGATAGCCCAAGATGTGACTCACAGTCGTCGCTTTCTGTATCAAACCCACCTAGTTCACCCACCCAACTTTCTCATGATGAATTGGATGAAGCTGAAGATTCTCAGGCATTGGAAACTGCTCATGTTGAGGAACAAACAGTTCTATCTGACAGTGGACACATCATGTCTGGGATGGAGATGGAGAACATGAACAGAATGGCGACTGCAAGTTCAGTTTCTCATGGTGAGGATGATGAGTGGGAGATTGAAAACAATGAAGGAGTACAAGAACAGGAAGTGTATGATGAAGAAGATGGTGGCTATCAGGAAGAAGAGGAAGTAGTCCACGAAGGTGATGGTGGCAGAAATCTTGATCTGAGCCAGGAATTTGATGCACAAACATTGGACACGTCAAATTTAACTCACGAGATGGGTCAGTTGATCTCAAGTTTTGATGATAGCGCTGATGCTATCATCCCCATGGCTGATGATCCGGAGACCTCTGGGAACCTTGAGAAGGCAGTTCAGAAAGATGTAGTTGGTGACCGTAAGGTACAAGTTGAGAATTCATTTGCCCAAGAGTCAGCCAGTGAGTCATCGCAACTCATAAGCGAAACTGAGAATTCTCTTCAACAGTTGGCTCTTGATCCAGTATCTTCTTTCACTAGCAATATTCAGCCTATAGCGTCCCCTTTAAGCTTGCCAGTTCCTTCTACTTCCACAGTTCAGCCCATCTCATCCATGGCTTCTAACTCTGATGGTCAAGCTGAAGCTCCAATCCGACTTCAGTTTGGCCTTTTTTCAGGTCCTTCTTTGATACCATCTCCTGTTCCAGCTATTCAAATTGGTTCTATTCAGATGCCACTCCATTTACATCCCCAGGTTGGCACTTCTATTACCCAGATGCACCCACCTCAACCTTCTTTCTTCCAGTTTGGTCAGCTGAGATATCCTTCATCTATATCTCAGGGGATGTTACCACTAGCACCTCAAACTATGTCCTTTGTTCATCCCCCTGTTACTGCTCAATATCCTTCTACCCAGAATCTTGTTGGCTCTGGAACTAACCAAGCAAATCAAGACTCTTCCTCTCAGAACAACCAGGCAGATAAATTACCTTCAAGATCTGTAGAAGAGCAGGCTGGCCCGGTAACAAAGCCACTCGACCATTCTGAGGAGAATAAAAAAATGAACTTTGTGCATCTGAATGAAATGCCAGATCCACCCAATAGTGAGGTTCTATCTCGTGGTCAGTCCAATGTAACTGGAGATAAAAATCGTCAGTTTTCAGGTTATCAGAATGATGGCCAAGTTATTCGTGATGTTACTTCAAGGAAGAATTATCGAAATGTGATGAATAACAGAGAATCTCAGGTGCATCCTGGTGATGTTCCATCACAGTTATCATTGGGTGAAAAAGCTCAAATTGGGACAAGAGCTCCAGGAATAATATCTAGTAGCAGAGGAAGGAGATTTACCTACACTGTGAGGAATGCTGGTACAAGGTCACAATTTTCTGGGCCAGAAAATTCCAGAACTGATTCAAGTGTGTTTCAAAGGAGGCCTCGAAGGAGCATCCGAAGAACAGAGTTTAGGGTGCGTGAATCTGTTGATAAGAGACAAAGAGAGGGCGTGGATACCAATAACAATACCAGTCAGGAAGAGAGACCAAATTTCACTGGTAGAGCGCCAGGGACTACTGTGAGGTATGGTAGTAGAAAGGATGCTTCCAACAAATCAACCAAGGTACAGGATGATTCTGAGAACTTGAATTATGCTGCACCTACCTCGCAATTTACTGGTTCTGATGGAAAAATACCAGACAAGCTTTTAGGTAAAGACACAAAATCGAAGAAGCGTGTATCCTCTATTGAAAATTCTCGAGCTGAAGGAGATAACGGGAAAAGGAGCGTGAATGATGAGGAGGATGTTGATGCTCCGATACAGGGTGGAGTTGTCCGCATCTTTAAGCAGCCTGGCATAGAAGCTCCCAGTGATGAGGATGATTTCATTGAGGTAAGGTCTAAAAGGCAGATGCTAAATGACCGACGAGAACAGAGGGAGAAAGAGAACAAGGCAAAGTCTAAGGTGATAAAGGTAAAATGGACATTCTCTTAGTTATACTTCCGTCCTTCCTCACTACTTCCTTTTACAAGTGTACTGAAGAATATGTTTAATGCTTTGCTTTTGATTGGTCAATTTTAGGCTCCTCGGAAACATCGTGTTATTCCACAAAACAATGCTGTAGCATCCAAGTCAAACAAGGCAGTATCAGCTTTGTCAAGAAACGTGTCACAGAGAGTTCGTGAACCTGTTATCAGGGGGTTTACTCACATTGAGGCATCACCTGTATTCCCTGCCATGACTTGTCAGACCCTGCCGCCAATTGGCACTCCTCCCATGAAAATCGACTCTGAAACAAGATCGAAAAGCTTGAAGTATGCTTATATCTGTGACGTCTTATAATTGTTTATGTTATATACAGGTTTGTAAGTTGAGACCATATCTGACATGTTGCTCATCAGGGCTGGCCAGACAAGCACTATATCTGGACAATCTAGTGCTGCTGATAAATTTGTACCAGGCTTGTCCTTTGAGAACAAAACCACTGGACTTGGCAATGCTTCCCTATCTTTGGGTTCCTGGGGCAATTCAGACATAAATCAGCAGGTAACTCTTGACCCATAATATATTTGGCTTCTTGAATCTTATTTATAACAGCAAACTGTTAGATCTGTTATTTGTACAAGTATATCCCTTGGTATTGTTTTATCTAACTGCTAGCTCATTCATGATAATCGACACAATAAATGGCAGCTGTTTTGAGGTTGACTTAGATGTTCAGTACAGGGGTACTGATGTACTTAACTGCAAGTGCTTGTTTGCTTTTAGATAGACAATGTGGGAGATTGGGTAACCACTTAATTCTGGTTACTCATTTGTTGATCCTTTTTATGTAGACTTGGCACTCATATTTTGTGCATTAGATTTATCTTGCATGTATGATCCCATGCTTCGTCTGTTCTCTCTAGCTTTTGCCCCTGCACGTCTTTTTTTCTTCTTTTGTAGTTTAGGAGAGTCAGCTGTTAAAATTTCTTTATAGCTTATGTTCTGTAGTTTAGGAGAGTCGGCCGTCAAAAGTTCTCTGTCTAAACCTATATATCTTCCACATTTACTCTCTTCTTTTTCTCTCTATATTTTTGGAGAATCAATGATGAAGGCACCCCATTTATTTCCACAACAATTCACATATAAATCTTCTACAATATAAAAATCACACCGTTCTTTCATAATTTCAATGTATGCTTCAAAATTCAATTACTATAAGCTTCGTTTTGAGAAATTACACATCCACCATGCAGCCTATAACACATTATTTACATATTAAAGTAATTAGATAAGACATTTCCTGACTTTTACACATTAACTTTTGTTTATGTATGAAGGTCTATTATTTGAGGAAAAAGAATATCAAAATTGAGATTTAGTGGAACTCCATTTTTAGGCTGTGGTTTGATATAAATAGTGTGATTCATAAAGCTATAGTTATTAGTTGAAGGGCTAAAAAAGTTATTTAAGAATGTATCATAGCTTAATGTCTGACATATTATTAAACATTATATGTTCCGTAAAGGTGTGTTTCTGTGTAGTATTTTATACCTTAATAACAAACCCTAGCAAACTTCCCAAAATTTCTCGTTATACTCTCTTTATTGTTATCTAAATTGTTTTTGTAGCTCATGTTACTTTGTTATTATTATGATTATTATTCTAATATTCTAGCGTGGTGTTTTGATGCAACCACCTCTCTCCAACTCCTGTCAAACAAATTAGCATGTGGACATGTCTATGTCCAACTGTCCATTATCACTGTCCTTTCAAGTTAGATTTCATCAATTGAAGTTTAATTTTCCACAGTTCGTTGGTATATATAGTTAAATAGTACGGCATGACATGGTTATAAAGATGGCTAATTTTGCTGATGCGTATTGTTCTTAAAGGTAAAGTTGGCTGACTGAGTGCTTGAGAATCACTCTAGATGCAAGGAGCTTTTTCCTGATCTGTGCTGCCTCCCATTTTTGATCTATATACTTTCATTTTGCTGAGTGATGGTTAGCATCTGTTGTTCTGGACTAGAAGTTTGGAAGAGTATCATTACTTTAAGCCTTGAGTAGTGCTGCTTTTTTAGTTGAAAGACCTCAAATTCTCCACTAGAATATAGATTTGTTGATGCTTCTCAGCTAGAGGATTGACATATTGGAAGAAATAAGTTGCTTCTGAAAATTTTTGTTATTTAAATGGAAGGGAAACTAGATGATATAGAATCAGAGCTTGAAAGACTAATGTATTCAGTTATCTTCAGGTTAGGCCCCAAGCTTTTTGAATGTTCAATTAGTTTCACTAATAATCCGGATCTATGTTTTCATGGGTCTGGGTACAAATACTGGTAGGGTTATGGGTATGAGAGATGACAAATTTGTATATAAGGTAGGCAATGTTTTAAATATCGATTGATAAACCGATATTATTGGCGATTTATCGGTTTTGGGACTTTCCGCTATAATAAGTTCAATTCTAAATTGGTTATCGTTTTTGAATGTTTACCGTCGATAATGCGGCGATAAAGTGAGTTATCGGTCGATATTGTCGGCCCAAAAGTCGGAATTATCGGCTTTTGGTTTGAGTTTTGATTTCGGGCAACGGGCATCTATTCAATGGCATTAAAACTGATCTGACCCGAGTTTCTACCATTGGTTAGTGATCCTAAACATAATTGTTTACATTTTGGTATGTTTATATTTCATGAAGTATGATTAGATTACATTATAGTCTTATAGAATATTATATTTATGTATATCACCATCCGGTAATGTCACTCTGATAAATACTACTTATCCCCGATATATCCCGATATTCGCTATTCAATATGGATGTTGACCGTTCGATAAATCCCCGATAACCGATATTTAAAACCTTGAAGGTATCGTACGGGGACACGACTATATAAATATTCATATACACATAGACATGACTATATAAATATTCATATACACATTATATGTTGGATTGACAATTTATATGAGAACAAGGATGAGAACTAAAATTCCTATAACATTTGTATATTTCTTTTATTATGTGGATTATAAATTGGAAAAATCATAATTCGGAAATTGACTTATGTCCGATGAGTTTCAAGAGGTGGATGTAAAGTGTAGGATATATGTCTAGAAAATGTGTGACAAATGTTTTAAATTAAAACATGTATTGTATAATTGAGTACATGCTGGAATAAATGGATGCATATATGCAAGGAGAGTCCAAGGAGCTTGGGTATGGGTAGTTGTACGTGTCAGGTATGAGTTGAGCTTCAGATTAGAAGTACCCAGGTAACATGGACTAAATCATTAATATTAGAGTATATCATCCCTAGAAAATATTTTTCCTCTGTGGTTAGGAAGTAGGAGTTAGTGAGCTTGGGTATGAGTAGTTGTACGTGTCAGGTATGAGTTGAGCTTCAGATTAGAAGTACCCAGGTAACATGGACTAAATCATTAATATTATAGTATATCATCCCTAGAAAATATTTTTCCTCTGTGGTTGGGAAGTAGGAGTTAGTGGAAACTTTATAGCATTATTTCTTTTTCTGATGTGCAAGTTAACGTGTACTGTGCAGTACGAAAGGACATAGCCATCTTGGCGTGGTAATCTTGGGGAGGGTCATACCATCTTATGATCCCCTTTCCCTCACCCTCATCTTAAAGATAACTTGATGATGCATACCAAAGAAAACGATGTATGAAGCGACTTCCTTTTTTTCTTCTACAAACCTCCACAAGGGAATCTTTATCAGAAAAAGAGCTTTAGCTTTAGTGTGATTATTTTCCTCAATTTTTTCTCTATTTTGCAGCTTTCTAAAGACAAGAGTCTGATTCTAAACATGCCTAAATTAATGCTTAAAAACTAGTGAGAAATACACATAGCGGGAAGGTGAGAAATGTTACACTTGTACGAAAGGGGATAGGAATATGACAAGATAAGAGCATGAATATATGACAAATCTTGATGTGCATTATGCAAATAGGCTGTGAAGATGACATTAATAAAGTGTCTTACACACCATTGTTTGCTATAGCATGGATTTGACAGACCGGTGATTAAAAAGGCAGTAACATAGATGATAATAGGTTGGGTTTTGTTTCCTAGATCATAGTCCACCTTATATTTCCAAATTATTAAACCTCCTACATAGTTAGTTTTTCTTTCAATCAACCACTTGATTCCACTTTACTGCTAAAATTTTCCTGAAATCCCAACAATACCCTCACTTAATCTAATGTCTAAAGCACACGACCTCTCTTTCTGATTCTCTGCCAGCTTTCCATGTGAGGTTACGTGAGGTTGTTGGAATTTTAGAAAAATTTTAGCAGCAAAGTGGGATCAGGTAGTTATTTGGATGAAAAACTAACTTTGTAGGTGGTTTAGGTATAAATTGGAAGTATAAGGTGGTTTACGTAAATTGACTCTAAATATGAGGGGTTTTCCAAGGAAAAATCCCTATAAGTTTTTGAAGTTGGTCATTACGGAAGTGAAAAGATAGAGGAACATAACTACAAATCAAATGTAACAGTGGGCATATCATTTATGCGTTAAGCTGTTATATTTTTAATCTCAGTTTCATCTCGGGTTTGTGTTTATACATTCAACTTGTGGTATATTATAGGAGTAACCAGCATGTGTCCATGAATTATGTATCATAGATTGAGATCATATGTAGTTACATATAAAAACATAATTACGAAAAGATTATTTATTTAAGGCAATATTTTAGTTTATTATTTGCAATTGAAGATATATAGGGTTTGTTTGCAGAAAACTCATTCAATATGCTTAAACTTAAAATTCAAGTGTTCACATACAATTTACATGATCAATTAAAAGGGTAGGAAAATGCTAAGAAATAATTGGATCTAGAGCGGTGCAGGTCTTGATAATGTGAAGCTGGTAGGAACCTGTGACCTGCACTGTTTGGTCATATTCACAAACCCTCTCCATTTCCAACACTGAGCTGAGGCCATTAGTATGGTGTTTTGAGCATGAGTACGCTGTAATAGAGTGGTGGTGATAATGAAAACTGGTTTTCATGACCTGCAGTCTTATCTGATTTCAGTTTAGTATGAAGTCTGAAGGTTAATGTGTCTGAGCTGGCCAATCATCGTACTAGAGCTACTGATCCTTTTTATACATATCATTTGGAAATTGAATAACAGAGATAAATTTTGTATGCCTAGCCGCTTATAGTATTGTAATTTTTGGCCACCTACTTTGTTAGGCTCAATTCTATGGAGCCAATTGGCAAACTTTCTCGTTTCAGTATTATCTTTGAGCCCATCCCTCAAGTGACTCTGGAAATTGAGCCCGTCCCTCGAGCGACTCTGGGAAGTGAACAGTGATTATAGAGGAGTATTTGTATTGCTTGGTACGTATAATCTGAATGCGCTCTACGTGTGATTTTTCGCCATTTTACAAATATGAAATATATTTTGAAGCCATATGAATGTTATTCATACATCTGAGGGCATATGTTGCGTAGTTTTTTCCTCGTATGTTGTTGGACTGCCCATGGTTGAATTTGGTGACTTCTATCTATGCACTAGCTATGAAGTGTTTTTTTTGTTGTTTTCTGAAAATCATCTAGGATGTTGATTTGACCTGTAAATAACCTTTTTTAAATGACATAATCATGCTGGAATTTATGTTACCACACATTTTCTGATGAGTCGTGTTCACTTTTAGGTAATGGCCTTAACTCAGAGTCAACTTGATGAAGCCATGAAGCCAGTACAATTTGACTCCCTAGTAACATCAAGTTCAACCATTTCTCTCGAACCCAGCAAGCCATCAACATCTATCATGGCACCAGAAAAGCCTTTTCCTCCATCATCAAGCCCTCTGAATTCCTTACTTGCTGGAGAGAGAATTCAGTTTGGTGGGTCTTGCTTCTAATCGTTCAATATAGTTTGTTTTCTTGGATATTTGATGTGGCATTCAAATGTCTGCGATCTTTTTTCATTCAGGTGCTGTTACCTCTCCAACTATTTTACCTCCAGTTAGTCGGGCTATATCCAATGGGATTGGGCCTCCAGGTTCTTCTAGATCCGATGTTACGAAGGATGCGTTGTCCGATACAAACAATGATAGCACCATTTTCTTTGATAAAGATAAGCATCCTGACGAGTCTCGTCCTCATTTAGAAGATCCTGAATCTGAAGCTGAAGCAGCGGCTTCTGCTGTTGCTGTCGCTGCTATTAGCAATAATGATGAGATAGTCGGAAGCAGGTTAGGTATTCGCTCTATTCCAGACTCCAAAAGCTTCAGTGGCACAGATAATACCGACTTGAAAACTTCAGGAGGTGATATATTGTATTTTAACACACATGGAAATCAAAGTTTCTTTTTGACATAGTTTATCTAGTTGCTCGTATAATGATGTTTGAATCATGTGGCAGGTTTGACTTCTACCCAAGAAGTTACAGGTCAATCAGCATCTGAAGAGTCTCTTACTGTATCTCTCCCAGCAGATCTTTCAGTTGAAACCCCTGCTCTACCATTATGGCATCCTTTGCCAAGTCCACAAAGTACTTCAAGCCCTGCGCTCTCGCATTTCCCTGGAGGTCCTCACTCTCATTTCCCTGTAGGGTTTGACATGAACCCGATATTTGGAGGGCCCATTTTTGCCTTTGGTCCACATGATGAGTCAGGTGGTACCCAAACACAACAAAGAAGTACAACATTGGGTTCTGGGCCACTTGCATCTTGGCCACAGTGCCATTCCGGTGTTGATTCCTTTTATGGCCCACCAGCAGGTTTTCCTGGACCTTACATCACTCCTCCTGGAGGCATACCTGGTGTTCAAGCCCCACCTCATATGGTGGTCTATAACCATTTTGCTCCAGTTGGTCAATTTGGTCAAGTTGGACTAAGTTTTATGGGCACAACTTATATTCCTACAGGGAAGCAGCCTGACTGGAAGCATAATCCCATGACCCCTGCAGCAGTGAGTGTTACTGAGGGTGACGGCAGCAATGCAAATGTTGTTTCAAGCCAGCACAACCAGCCGAATTTGCCATCTCCTATCCAGCATCTGGCCCCAGGATCACCTCTCATGCCCATGGCTTCTACGCTAGCCATGTTTGACATGTCCCCTTTTCAGGTTAGTTCTCTAATTATTAACTCACAGACTTGCTAATTAGTTCTGGTAGAGGTATATTAGATGGCGTGGTTATATTGGTTGCCAATGAGTGCATTTTCAAAAGGATCTAGTCTCTTTCCACTTTATTTACTTCCATTTAGTTTCACATTGTCTGGAGGTATATGAAAGTATCTAGTTATTTGCTATCACTGATAGTTTCTCAGTGATGGAAGAAGCCCTGTAGGTTGTCGTTAAGGAATTAGACATAGTTGTTTGAGTGGACCAGATTTTCATTGAGAACCAGTCTGCTTCTGAATGGTCATTCTTATTAAGTTTATTGAATGATTCCAACTTGATAATTATTTGATAGGAACACCTTTGTATTGATAATACATCACTCTGCATGAAAGGCAAACTTGCTATTTTAACATTCAAAGATTGAGTTAACTGGTTTTGCTCCATTGCTTTCCTTTTAGTTCGTTGACGTGCATTTTTTGCTTTATGGAACATTTGAAGCAGAGTTAAAGTGTTAAAGCTGTGGGTTGGCTGTCTTTCAGAATCAGATAACTGGTCTGGTTTGGTTATTTAGTCCTAGTCCTACTTGAGAATGAGTTGTATTTTCTATTTTTATGACCAACAAAATTCAAACCAATGCCCAATACAAACTCAGTCTGTCCAACCAGACTCTGCTGATCTGGCATTATATATGAGAATCAGTTTGGAGACACTTGAGAACATATATGGAACAGAGGTAGGTGTTACCTATGTTTATATTTGTTTAGTTTAGAAAATAAAAAAATCTCAATAGTATATTGTTTGAATGTTAAAATCATATTCATATTTGTTAACTATACAGTTCGATGGATGGAATATAAAACATGAATTGATATGGACAATAGCTACATATATTCTTAGAAAATATGTAACTCTTACACTTAGTATTTTCTCATATTAAAATAACAAGAGAAAGATCTTCTTAATAAAATGTGTGCTTGAGTAAATATTTTTTTATAAATCTGAGCACAGTAGAATATACATGGGTAGTATCTTATAATACATAGGTGTAACTAAATTTATTTGTACCTATCACTTTCACATTTGGCTTTACAAAAGCTAATTTGGTAATGAAAACTGGAGCTTCCCTATTTATTAACTAGTTTGTAGCTCTCCAATGCTGAAATCAAGGTGGTCCCCTTCCTTTTAAAGCTCCAGGTATGGGCTCGTGCCTTACCTTAAATGAGGATCTTTTCATTAATTACTGATTCTCTTCTGGGTAAGATTGTATC